AAGCTTCTTGTTACTACCAGTAAGGCACCTGTTCCTAGTAGCTTCTTTAGAAAACTCACTTCCCGAAACTCACTTCACCTGGCCGACGCCGCAGAGCTTCGGAGGCTTCGCCACGCCGCCAGCGGCGAAAGGTTCTCATAGCCAGCGATGCTTTTGGCCTCCGAGAGCCTCAAGGTTGGTGTGTAGACTATGTAGTTAGACTAAACAACATAGTCACTTAGTCAATAAAAACATTCGTGAATGTGGTCCGAACTTCTAAAACATGTTTTTTCTAAGGAAGATAAGACAATGTGGTCTCTGCTTTTCGAAGGCCTTCTTTGCGTTTTCATCCAAGTCACGTCACTGTGAGATTGGTCAGACGCTGCTGGGCAAGAGCACGCCAAGCATCCCCTCCAGTACAAAGGAAGGCTTCTGCAGCTTCCTTAACCACCTCACCGAGAGGCGAAAGGAGCAAGATTCTTCCAAGCACAGTAGCAAGAAGCTACTAGGTGGAGGCCATCGCTATTAGGTTGGAGGCCACTACTACTAGTAGCAAGAAGCTACTAGTAGCGATGTTCCTGCCCTTTATTACTAGTAGCTTCTTGTTGCTAGTAGTAAGGCCAGGAGCCCCTAGTAGCGTCCTTGTTCCTAGAAGCTATTAGGTTGGAGGCTTTCTTTTGGTGTCTCACAAACGATTTCGTGTCCTCGGCACAGCCCTCTGCAATCTCGGTGAAGGCCGCTGCAGAGCTTTTCAAAGCTCTTGTGTCATGCAAACCTGAGAAGCTGAAGAAAGCAAATACCAGAGAGAGAGAGAGCCTTGCAGAAATGCCAAGCCAAACACTGCAAGTCCAAAACTTTCCGATAACATGGATGCACTTGGGTGCACTTTTGAGCACTAGTAGCTACTAGTAACAAGTGCAGGGCATTGCGGGCCCTGCAAAAGTAGGAGCAAGGACGCTACTAGGGGCTCCTGGCGTTGCTACTAGGAGGATTCTTACTACTAGTAACAAGAAGCTACGAAGTTCGCTGGAGTTACTTTGTGATTCTGAACTCATTCTTTTGCTCGGTGAAAGGGGCTCAAAAGGGACTCAGGTGGCCCCCGGTGAAACCATTCAAATGTAATTCCTGTGGAGTGGAAGCTCTCCAATCCCAAATGATCTCCTTTTCCGGATGTTTATCCGTGCGGCTCGTCGGGCAAGCAACTCGGATTTGGTTGGAACCGGTGCAATTCTTGAACTCGACAAGCGCCGGGTCTTCCGGATCTTGTATACGAACTAAGATGATCGGCTGGGCCGGTAGGCGCTTTGCAGCTGCCTTCTGAAGCACGTAGAGTTTCCAATCTTCCAGCGACATGAGCGCTCCACCACTTAGCCGGAGCACTTCCAAAGGATTCTCATAGCCCAAGTACCATATGTCTCCCATGCCATTGGCCTTCACTCGAAAGACTGCATCATCTAGTAGCATTCCAATATCAACACCCTCAGGTTGAAAACCATCTAATCCACTGTTCTCATCGCTTGAGAAGAGAATTTCCAAGGGTGAAACTCTCAGAGGTGGCGCCCTCTCCGCCCTCCCCGGTGTGCCCGTCACCGCCAACTCAGGCCGCCGTTGAGGTGGACGGACTGGCGCCACGTGCGCTGTCTGGTCCGTGTTGGGAGCTGTAGGTGTAGCAGTAAGTGTAGCAGTAAGTGTAGGTGTAGGTGAGGGATCAACAGAAGATGCAGAACTGAAATATTTGTCTGTCTTGTCGGCCGCGGCATGTTGATGTTGATGTATCTTCTTTACAGCATGCGCAAAAAGGCCCCCAAAGTTCAGCACCTTCTTTTGAGCTGAGTTCTTTGCAGTTTCAGAATCGTTCTCCTTAAGATCTTGAGTTTCTCCCCAGATCCAATGGTCTGTACCCAAATCTTGCTGGTCTTCTTTGCATCGTGTCCAATCCGAGTGTGTTCCATCTGCACATTCCTCGGAACCATCTCCATGTTGCGTACTTCCTTTCCAAGAAGACCGTATTTCTGAAGAATAATTCCAGTCATTCTCCTTCCTCTCCTTCCATCGCCAGTCAGAATGCCCTTGATCTGCTGGAACATCCACTGGGCTATGTCGGTGCTGCACATAACTTTCTTTCCAAGAGGACTGTCCTCGAGCCCATGAATAGTTCCAATCATCTTCTTCTTTCCGTGTCCAAGATGAGTTTCGCGAGTCACTTGGCGAATGCGTCCATTGCATATTCGTTCTTTCCTGGAATGTGTCCATTGCAGAATCCTTCGAGTCCTTCCAGTCCTTCCAAGTTTCGCTTTGCCATCGGCCACCTGCCGCAAAAACAGGTGACGAGTCGACCCGTCCTTTCGGGCAACGCTACGAACGGGGCTCCTGGCCTTACTTCTCGGAGCGAGGTTCGCTACGAACGGAGCAAAGACGCTACGAACGGTTGGAACTCCAACCGAACCTAATACCTAATGGCTTCCAACCTAGAAGCAATGGCCTCTCACCTACTAGCCATGGCCTCCAACCCAATAGCGGTGACACGCCCACGTCGATTATAAAACAGAAAAGTAATAAAAGAAATACTGAAAACGAGGTTTCGACGTTTCGGAACGCCTTTTCACCTTGAGCCAAAACACGTCATGAGTCACGTGTCTGCAGTACTCTAGCGGAGTATTTATGGGCTGTACATGCAAACACTCCTCCTCTTGCAAAGCACTGTACTGCTGCGCAAGCTTAAAGAAAGTATGTGAAACTTCCCGCTGCTGAGCCACTTTCAGTTGTGGTAGTGGAGCTTGGCCAGGGACCTTACTCCAAAACATCCAACTGTCCTTTGCTTCGCTTGCTGAGGAATGCATACTGCAGGTCCTCCATGGTTTTGCGAAGTTGCACCCCAGGAACCGATTTGGTCAACACATCGGCTTTGTTCTTGACGCCTGGAACGTGGTGCACTTTCAAGTGGCCTTCGGCAACCCTTTCTTGCAACCATAGGTAGCGAGTTTGGATGTGTCTGGCTTTACCCAAACCCACTCGGTTCACAGTTCCTTTGGCTGCATTGGAATCGCCCTGTATGGTGACTTCCAAATCCAAGCCAAGATCTGCGCATAGGCTTTGGAGGCCTAAGCCCACAGATCCACCCTTCACGAGTGCGTAGTATTCGCTCTCGCCTGTGGAAAGGGCTATGGTGGATTGGATGTTACTGCTGTGTTTCAGCACGCGTGTGCCATAAATGGCAACCATGCCAGTCGTGCTCTTGCGCGTCGCAGCATCTCCACCGTGGTCGGCGTCGACCTGGACCCTCAGCCTTGAGGGTGCCTGCTGTGAGCCAAAACATTGCCCAACATCAGGGTATTTCTTTAAGTACCTGATGAGACGCTTCAAGTCTGCAAGTTTGGCTTCTGTTGGCGACACCATACCTCGAGCAAGGTTCTTGACTGCGTGTCCAATATCGAGTCGATCTTGGGACAGATACGCAGCACGCATCGTAGCTGAACGATACTTCGATGCCTCGCTCTTATCAAGCAGTGGACTGCGGCTTTCCAGCATCTGCTGATCTGCCGACTTCTTGACATCTGGTGATTCCACACCATTTGCCTTTTCCAGACCAAATGCCTGGATTAAAAGATCAACATGTCTCCGATCGGCTTCGATCACAATCGATCCTTTGCCGTTCTTCTTTTCGACTCGGATCAACAGATTCAGGAAATGGGCTTCTGTTCGGTCTCCATCCTCGTCTCCAAGAATTCCGAGACATTTCAGCTCATAGGCATCTTTGAGGACTTGGCTGAGCTTCTCCAAGTGTTGGGCGTCTCCGAGTGCTAGGAAGTCCTCCATGCACCATCACTCTGACGCCCCAAGCTTGTTGGTAGAAGACTGACGCATTTGACAACCCTCTGCGGAAACCAGCTTTCTGCAAAGTCTCTGTGTAGTGCGTCTGCCAGATATTTGGAGCGTCCTGTGTCCCATACATCGACTTCGCGAGAAGTCCACAGGTTTGTCCATCTTTGCTGGCGTCGTCCTCAGGCGGCAGCTCTATGTAGATCTTTCTCTTCGGAGTTCCATGAAAGTGCTCGTGAGATGTCCCACAAGCCCAGCTTCAGCGGCTGGTTGTGGCAGGACTTTCTCTTGGTTGCCCACAACGAGCACAGCAGTCTCATCGCCTCCAATGGGGGCGTGCTGCTGAAAAGCAAGTTGGCTGGCAATTGTTCTTCTTTGGTCTTTCTTGCCTTTATCTCACGCACAACTAATCGGCTCCTGTAGTTCGGGTTTGTTGGATCTCCCTTGTTGGTGTCCAACCATCTGACTGGAATCGGGGGCTTCCCCGTTTCCTCAAAGCATTCGGCTCTCGGCCGGGGCACATAAACGCCATGCTTCTCTTTCAAGTAGTCCATCTCAAGGCGTCTTGCCTCCTTTACTTTCTCGGCTGGCAAAATGCCGCCGTTCACATCATCCATGTAGACCTCTTCGAACTCTGGGTCCATCAGAGGCATCTCTGGAACTGGGCCTGCTGCGAACAGATCGAAGGTGTTCAACTCACCTTTCTCTGCTAGTGTGTCACGCAGGCTTCTCAGCACTGCTTTCACAAGCTGCGGTGGGTATACCGCTGCCTGCCTAGCAATGCCTCCGATCAGATGGATGTGTCGGTGCCATGGCCCTTTGCCCGATTCATTCGAGCAGACTCCTTGCAAGACTCGGGCCAACCCTTCATCGTTGGTCATCCAACCGGTCTCCTTTCTCACATAGCCAGTGCCTTGGAGTCCTCTTCGGTCGGTGGCCATCATCTGCCACCTGCACATTGGACCTTTCACCACAAACACTCCATCTTCTTTTGCTAAGGCCTCAACCTTCTCATCCTTCCAACTGGTTGCGGCCCATGGCGCCTCATGGAGGAATTTTCGTCCAGAGCGATGCTGCTTGACATACAGCTCTACGCTCGTATGAAGGTGATGGACGGCTTCGTCCATTTTCCTCCTCCTGACATCCGGTGCCATGTTTCTCCAGTTTAGATTCTGGAGCTGCGAGAACATATGGCACGGAGGCGATCCGGTCAAGAGAGCCGGTTCGTCTCTCTCTAGGATGTTGTGCACCTCTTGGACATCTTCGGACTTGTTCAAGTCCCAGTATGTTCCATCACTTTTCGTTTCATTCAAGTCGACCGCGAAACCCGGTCGCAACTTGTAACGCTCTGCAAGCGCGGTGAACCTCTTGGGCGAGTAGATTTCCATGACATCTACTGCCGACATCTGCATACTCAAATGCGCGATGTCTCCGATCTCTTGCTCAGTGATCTCGATGCCATTCGCCTCATAGGTTCCTTGAATGATCTTCTTCAGATGCTGCTTTGCGATCTCCTTCTCTTTTACCAAGCTTGCTGCATCTGGCTTCCACCCTGCTGGTGGTGTTTCTGGAACATGTGAGAACTGAGACGTTTTCTTTGGACTCTCTTCCGCTCTGGGATCAAGGTCTTCGACAGCAGTCTCTGCCGTCCTCTTTGTTCCTTGGGCCGGTTTCGGCTTGACCTTTGCCCCGGGTGGATCTATCCTAAGTTCTCCTGTTCTCTTCTTGGGCTCTGTTGCTACCTTGGCTTTCGCCACTGGTTTCTTCTCTATTTCGGCTGCTTGTCTCTTCATCTCATATCTCTCTTTCGGGTCATCGGGATAGGTCTTCTCACCCTCTGCCGCTGTTGGCGGCGGGCTTCCCGATCCTGCGCTCTTTGCTTCTTCTTTCTTCTCTGGTTCTCCGGCCGCATCCTCGGCCGTGATGTCGGTGTCCTTGTCGGCTACGACCTTTGGC